CAGACTTCTTCCATTTGGAGCCACATATCTTTAGCAGGTATCTTTTTTTCAGTTGTGACAGACATCAAAATCAATACTGAAGTAAACTGAACTTAGAAACATGTACATGTCAATAATTTATAAATAAATAAATATACACATATTGGGAACAATATACTCAAAAAATCTTTATGGGATATGTGATTTTTAAAAAAAGTTTGGAGAACATTACCCTACAGAATAATATGCAGGAAAATGGTCCTGTTGCAAAGAATGTAGTATTTCAGGGAAGGATGCAATATGAATAAACAAAGGCAGCGATGTAACTAGGCCTTCTGGTATCTGGGGCAAATACAGATGTGGGAAGAGAACTTGGACCTCAGGATACAAGGCTGTCTGGGAGCATTGACACCCCCATCTACCACATTTGCCTATGAAACCCTAAGGCATCATTGCTAGGGAAGCTGCCAGGGGATGGAACAGGGAAAAGTTCTCTGGGCTGTAGGATCCCCTCCCAGTTGGTGCATTACAGCACCTCTTCTAATATTGGGTAGGACCCTAGGCCTTGGCATTTGACAGAAGGTGCAGAAAGTAGTATGCCCTGGTCAGGAACAGTTAACACTGGGAGAGGAAGTAGCCTGTCCCATGGAAGTCTGGTTCATGTCCCAACAACCCAGCCAAATACTTTATCTCCAGCCAAAACCCAGAAGGAAACCATGTGATAGTGGGGAAATTCGGGGCCCCAAGAGGAAGTCCCTCAGGGCAGTAACTCAGGAGGTGAGGGACGGAGTGGTTGCTTGGTGCACACTTGATATGGTGACAGTGGGATCATGAGCTTATGCCAAAAGGAAGCCCTAGTCACCCCACTCTAATTGTGGCTCTGAATATAGGTTCTATTCACTATTTTAGCACTTAAGGTAGGAGAAACAACTTGATAATTGGCAAAAATTAAAACCTTTAAATTCCCAGCCTCATTTTAAAAAGAAAGCATAGCACCTTGATATTTACCTTATGAATAGGTTCACCCTTCATTACACACTATTTCTCATTATTTATGCTCCTGCCAATTATCTTTCTTTTCACTCCCTCTTTTCAAATCTGATTTTAAAAACTTCAGCCATTTATTTTTCAACCTCTCTTTTTGTTTTAGACACTGAATATATTTCCTCATGCAGCTAGAAGGTACAGTAGTTAGAATGCTAGATGCAGAATCAGAAAGACCTGAATTCAAATTCTGACACAGACACTTACTAGCTGTGTGATCCTGGGCAAGTCACTTGACCTCTTTGCCTCAATTTCCACTTCTGTAAAATGGGGATAATGATAGCACCTACCTCAGAGATTGTTGTGAGGATCAAATGAGATAATATATTGAAAGGGCTTTGCAAACCTTAAATAAATGGCTAGCCACTATTATTATTCCTCCCCATCTTCCTCTTTTAAGCTGCAATTTACTTTCCCCTTTACCCTCCTCCACTGTTGCTAGACTCATTTGGAGATCATCTGAAATGTGGTTAATTAGGTAGATGTGCTGAAGCCACAATATTCAATTTGATTTAACAAAGATTCATTAAGTACCTCCTATGTGCAAGGCACTGTGATAGGTGGGAGAGATAAAAACATGAATCATGCCACAGTCCTTACTGACTGTGAGGATACCATCATGTAACTTCATCTATTCCAAAGATGAGACTCTTAATTAAAGCCAACAAAGGACTTTGTACTTGTGGGTTGACTCATCTCAATGCACAAGTACTTTACAGATGATAAACATAAACATACCAGCTTTGGAGAGTAGAGCTCAGGTCTATAGCTCTCATGTTCTCCTCCTTGCCCCCTCCCACCCACTCTCACCTATAGCACAGAACCCCACCCTGGATTGCCCCATTTTGTCATCTTCTTAGTTGTGTGCTACATTAGGTATTTCTGTCTATCATGGTTTCTTCTGCCATCCTTTCCTTCTCCTTAGATCCTTATTGTTTTCCTGTCTCATCCTTCATCCCCTAAGGATCAGGCTCCATCTACCTTCCAATTATACTATTTTTCAAACGCATCTTACTAATATGCTAATAGGATAGGTTTACAGTAACTCTTGAGGGTTCTTTTTCCAGTTCCAAAACCACATAGATGCATTAGAAAAAGAACCTCCTGAGGACAAGAAATTATTAATTTGGTCTTTCTATTTGTAGATGACTACAATCTCCAGATATAACTTAAGTGGGTTGGAAGAGCTGTGTGGTAGACTATACTTGTCAATAATCACACTAACCCTTCAATCTGCTACTTTACTCATCCCTTACTAATTCTCATCCCAGGTTCTAAGACATTCAAGAAATATGTTCTGATATTGCCTCATAAATGAACAGAAACGCTCCTTCTGTCTCATGAATTAATTTGCTCTGATTCCCCCTCCCCTAGTAATTAAACCAGAGAAACCACTTTTCTAATAAGCGCTCTGTCTGTCTGTCTCTGTTTCTTTCTATCTCCCTAGTCTCACAGGTTTAAATAAACGCCAGCATTTCTGGCCATATAATGTATTCCAAAACAAAGACATATTTTAAAATTTCAACAATATATCATGGTGAAAAAGATCACAACCTAGTCAGTTCTAACCATTAAAAGCAACTGCTTACTTTTCAGCTCTGGAAAACACCATCCTGCCATTCAGCTCTCAGGATAATTGTCAATTTCCCAAGAATTCTCTTAGGGATACCTATTCCACAGCGTAAGTGTTAAACTCAGTTCTCTCAGGAAAGAAAGGTCTCTTCAGTTTTTCTCCTTGATAATTAACTTGTTCAGTTATCTCAGCAACAAAGTTCTTTTAAGTCATTTCCCTATGTACCTCCATAGTCTCTTTCCAGCTATGACAATTAACAATCTCCAGATTACAGGTAAATTCCCTCCCTGTCACCCAAGAGTCTATTTCCTCTTAAAGATATAATATTGACTATGTGGTTTATATTAAAGCTGTTGTTATATCTTTACAGTTATTTTTAATTATAGTACTATAGCAACTTGCAAAAGTTACATAAAAGAACATAAAAAGATCATGATTTTTCAAAATTATATTATAAAATAGTAACAATTTTGTTTCCATTTAAAAGGTAGTCAATTCCTAATTTAGATGTTCTAATAGTTAATGTTCTTTTTAGGAAACAGGTAGGCATAGGTCAGGTTGTAAAAAGTTGAAATACAAATTTTTAAAAATGTAAACCTATTTGATTGACATACATGAAAAACTGCTAAAAGAAGCAAAATTGTTTTGGTTACCAAAGGAACTTTTTCCTGATTAGAATGAAATGCTATATGTATATGACTCTATGTTGTTCGGTTTCGGCTTTTCTTTTTTTTTCCTTCTTCTTTTTTGGCTAGCCATGAAAGATAGACTGCAAGAACTTGGAGCATAAAGAAATCATATGGATGGTTAATTTTACTGAAAAAGTACTCATGCACTGTTGGTGGAATTGTGAACTGATCCAACCATTCTAGAGAGCAATTTGGAACTATGCACTGATCTACCAATACCACTGCTAGGTCTATATCCCAATGATGTCCAAAGAAAAGGAAAAGGACCTATTTGTTAAAAAATATTTATAGCAGCTCTTTTTGTGGTGGCTAAGAACTGGAAATCAAAGGGATGCCCATCAATTGGGGAATGGCTAAACAAGCTGTGGTACGTAATTGTAATAGAATATTATTACGGTATTAAAAAATGACAAGCAGGATGATTTCAGAAAAACTTGGAAAAACTTCCATGAACTGATGCTGAGTGAAGTAAGCAGAGCCAGGAGAACATTGTACACAGGAACAGCAATATTGTTCAATAAAGAACTGTGAGTGACTTAGTTCTCAGCAATACAACAATCCAAGATAATCCCAAAAGATGGGATTGATGAAGCACACTATCTGCCTCCAGAGAAAGAACTGATATTGTTTGAATACAGAGTGAATCATGCTATTTTTCACTTTCTTTCATTTTTTTCTTTTATTTGTCTTCTTGTACAAAATGACTAATACTGAAATGTTTTACATAATTTCACATATATAACCTATATCTGATTGTTTACCATCTCAGGTAGGAAGGAGGGGAAGGAGGGATAGAATTTGCAACTCAAAACTTTAAATAAAAATGTTAAAAAATTGAAAAAAAATTTACTGTCAAAAAAAGTGTAGGGTCTTTGGAATCCTGAGAGTAAAGGGGTATGGAGATGAAATAAAATGCTAGGTAGAATAATTTGAGTACTCAGTTTAACCAAAAGCTTCTAGCTCCTTTCTGAAGCAAGTGGCAGATCGAAAACAACAAACATTCTCACTAAGCCCACTGTTCACTAAAGCCCTAAACCTCAAAAAATTCATGGTACAAGTTCAAACTCAGTGTTTTTGTGCTCTAGTAACAGAGTCAGGTCCTGGAAAGCAAAACCAGGGTTAGAGTAAGCTGTGGTTAATAACACTTGGAGACTAGTAAGGAATGGTACTTAACCAAGGGATCGCCATTTATTGTACCTTGTTCCACTAAGGGTTTGTTGGTGTTTTGTTTTGTTTTGGAGGGTGTTGTTTTTTGTTTTCTTGTTTTGGTCTGGGATCTATGGTTTAATCAAAGTGAGGAACTCCCTCTACTAATGCAGATAGGAAATTGTTTTTCAGCTCCTGATGAGTTATGTGACTTGTTCACTGTCACTCAGACAGTATGTGTCAGAGACGGGACTTGTCTTCTTGGTCAGCTCACTAGCCGTGATACAACACTACCTTTCCGCGCTGTATGTATGCTAACATCTAGCATTTAGAGTTGTATTTTTGTGGAGAAAGTAATACTGAATAGATTGTGTGCTAAATTATGTGAGTTTCAGCTAACTTGCCTGTGCTGACATTGTCTACATTGCCTAGTACACGTGGTGGCAGCTGCCTCAGTCGAAGTAATTAAGGAGCAATTAAGCAGCTTCTATAGTACATATCCTATAGAAAGTTATCAAGATTGCAAATGTCACAATGACTCTCTCTCTCTCTCCCTTCCTCCCCCCTAGGATTTTCTTTCTTTATGGATTCCAAGCACATGTGAAACACTCCAAACACTGATTGTGCTGTGAGATTTGATCTGCTCACTACTCAAATTGGAAAAATGACTTCAATCGCAGGTGAGTCCGACCCAATAAGCTCATTCACTTCCTATGCTGAAAATCAGTCCAAGTACATCTGCTCAGGATACACATATATTAGTTAAGATCTGGTTACCCTGAGCACACTAGTTTCACATTCCTCTTCTTAGAAAGAACATCCATAAGAATATTCTTTATTAAATGTCTATTTGGATTTCTTGTTGGGGTATGGAAATGATCCTGAGTTCTAAAGATTATGCCAACCATCACTAGCTGCATGACCCTGGGCTTAACCTCTCCAAGACCCCTCAGTAGAACAGAGACAGTAATAGCATGAATCGCATGGAGTAGTTGTGAGGATCTAATGAGATGATTTATATAAGGTGCTTTGTAAATCTCAGAGCACTATACAAAATGCTATCATAATTGTGCCGCTGTTCATCTCATTATTTTATGTTAAATGTTCTGTGGACTACTGGCACAAGTGGTTAAAAGAACGGTTCTTCTTGAAATAACTGAATAAAAGTGCTGGAATGTAAGCTTATTTCTGTAGGTTCACTGAAAATATCTTCAGGATAATTTTAGAAGTGGACAAGGCGACGGAGTGATATATAATCGCACGGTTTAATTTCTTGAATGAATGAGTGAACAAAGCAGTTATTAAGTGCTTGCTTTGTGCAAGGCACTGTGCTGAGCTCTGGAGGATAAAAACAAAAATAAGATAGTCCTTGTTCTTACAGAGCTCACATTTTATAGGGGGATATAACACACATAACACAAATTGCATTCTGCTAGGTCTCTATATTTTCAAAGCTTTTCACTGCATGAAGCCTGGAGATTATAAGTAGTTGGTATTTGCTGTTCAGCCAGTTGTATCCGACTCCTTGTGACCCCATTTGTGGTTTTCTTGGCAAAGACACTGGAGTGGTCTGTCATTTCCTTTTCTGGCTCATTTTACAGATGAATAGACTGAGGCAAATAGGGTTAAGTTGACTTGTCCAAGGTCACACTGTTACTAAGTGTCTGCAGCTGGATTTGAACTCATGAAGATGTGTCTTCCTGACTCCAGGCCTAGCACTCTATCCACTGCCACCTAGCTGCCCAGTAGTTGGTATGATAACATCTAATAATAATCATCATCATGTCATGTCATTTGGGGTTTTCTTGGCAGAGATACTGAGTGATTTCCTGTTTCCTTCTACAGCTCATTTTACAGATCAGCAAATGGAGGCAAACCCTGGACAAGTCACTTAACCTATTTGCCTCAGTTTACTCATCTGTAAAATGGGGATAAGATGAGCACCTACCTCCCAGGTTTTTTGGTAAGGATCAAATGAGAATAACAATTGTAAAAACACTTAGCACAGTGCCTGGTGTATAATAAGTGCAATATAAATGTTAGCTATTGTTATTACTTTCATTAGGGAGCAGCAATGATGGTACAATGGGTAGATTGCTGGGCCTGGAATCAGCAAGACTCATCTTTCTGAGTTTAAATCCAGCCTCAGACACTTACCAGCTCTGTGACCTTGGGCAAGTCATTTAACTCTATTTGCCTCAGTTTCCTCATCTGTAAAATGATCTGGAGAAGGAAATGGCAAGCCAGTCCAGTATCTTTGCCAAGAGAATCCCAAATAGGGTCACAAGGCATCGGACGTGACTGAACTGAATTATTAAGTATTCAGAAGCTTATCATTAGAGGATCAGCCATCAGGTAACACTTTTTTTTTTGGCCAAAGTGATTCATAAAGCCAGTCAACAAAAGTACCACCTCCTCCAAGGCCTTTCCTAATTCACCAGTTGGCTGTATTTTGTACAATTCTATGTAACCTATTTGAGGGAGGGATTATTTCATTCACGTCTATGTATCCCCAGTGGTATATAGTAGACTCTTTTTTTAAATTTTATTTTTTTTATTTTTTTAGGCAATTGGGGTTAAGTGACTTGCCCAGAGTCACACAGCTAGTAAGTGTCAAGTGTTTGGTCTGAGGCTGCATTTGAACTCAGGTCCTCCTGACTTTAGGGCCGAAGCTCTATCCACTGTGCCACCTAGCTGCCCCCTATATAGTAGACTCTTAATAAATTCTTGTTAATTGATACAACGGTACAGAGAAGTTATGATTTCTTTGGGTGGTGATAGTATTGAAGTATAACATTGAAATTTAAACAGATCACTAAAGATGAATCTTGAAGCTGTATCAAATGGTGATAACCAAGAAACACTCCATACCCTGAAAACATCTTTTTTTTGGTTTTTCGTTTCAGAAAATAGAATGAGCCGCAGCGTTCCTGTTGAGGTGGATGAATCTGAGCCATACCCACTTCAGCTGATGAAATCATTCCCAGAATATTCAATGGAAGGAGAATTTGAACCACCTGGTCCAAATGATGGCAGCATGGTACACAGTGGCTCATTCCCACCTGAAGCTGCCTGCACTCCTCCAGCAGACCCTTCTCCTTCCAGAAAAGCTCAAGAGCTCATAAACCACTACTGTCTTGCAGAACATCAGGACAGATGTCTGCGTAATAAGATACTGGAGGAGTGTGAATACAGCTTCTGGAGGAGACACCCAGATCCCGGAAAGATTTCCCCTCTAGTTCCTCAGCTGCCAGTGAGTCAGTGGTCGGAGCACTCCCCTCTGAGCATCCGTTTTCACTTATGGAAAAACACAATCAGCTGCTGGGATCTCAGCTTTCAGCAGCTTCTCCTGACACTGGCCATGACTCAGGCAACTCGGACCAAAGTTTACCTAATGCATCGGCAGACTCCCCTGGCAGGAGCCAAGAGAATGTCCATCGACACCAGCCCCCTGGGAACCGAGGGCCATTGGATTTGCCCACAGTAGACACTGGGTATGACTCCCAGCCTCAGGATGTCCTGGGTATCAGGCAGCTAGAAAGGCCCCTGCCCTTGACATCAGTGTGCTACCCCCAAGATTTTCCCAGGCCTCTCAGGTCCACAGAATTTGTCCAGGTTGGACCTCAGAGGTACCCAGGATGTGCACAGATGCTGCCTCACGATCCTTCACATGCTCAATGGAACTGTCAGTACCATGGCCCAGGAGAGCCAGATCACCGGGTTCCATGTAAGTCCCACTTTAATTGTACCAAACACCCCACACTGTGTTGTGCTACTGAATGATAGCACCCATCATCACTTCCTTTCATGCTGATTAACTCGGACAATGCAAAATGCAGGGAAAGCATTTGACCTCCCTTACGTGTTCTCCATAGACTGGTGGGTTTAGCCATTGTTGTTGCTGTGGTTGTTAGGCCAGTCCCACTTGCAACCTCCTTGGATCAGTCACTCAGTTAGTATTTATTAAGCTCCTACTATGCTAGCCATTGTGCCAGGTGCTGAGGATACAAATACAGAAATGATTGCACATTATATTCTAATGAGGGAGACAATACCTGTAAGGAAATGGTAGCCAGGCGAAAGACATTTTGCTCTCAGAAGTCACATAAATGGTGAGTGGAGCCATAGGGCAGTAGATTGCCTTTCAAGTAGAAATGGCATTCTGGAATTAAATATTGTTCAATATTTCAGAGCAAGTTCAGCATGTCAGAGAAAATATTGTTCATTGTTATTCAGAGCAAGTGCCAAGGCTGAAAGGATGGGAGGAGGGACATACATGGAAGCCAGGCTGATGACAAGATGCCCAAGCTGGATAGATAACCTAGTAGATGGCTGGATGGGATGTAAAACATGGTCTAGGACCAACTAGATGTAGTAGACTGAGGTGAGTTTTCCCTCATTCATCCACTAACCACCCAACCAATCAATCAACAAGCATTATTGTGTGCCAGGCATTAAGCTAGGGATACACAGAAAGGCAAAAACAGCCTCTGACTGAAAGCGCTTACATTTAATGGAGGAAGACAGCATATGTATGAAGACACTTACCAGATATGCAGAGCAGATGGAAAGTAACCTTAGAGGGGATGGCTCTAGTGCAGGGGTGGGGAACCTGTGTGGCCTTCTAGATCTTTAATTAAAATCTCGATTCAGTCAAAAGGCCTCACTTAAGGATCTAGAAGGCCACAGGTTCCCCACCCCTGCTCTAGTAGCTAAAGGGACTAGGAAAGGCCTCATGAAGGAGGTGACATGAACTGAGTATTGAAGGAGGACATGGATTCTAAGAGACAGGAAGGAGAGAGAACATTTCAATTAGGACAGCTCAGGCCCAGAGACCCACAGCTAAGTGGTTTTCAAGTGAGTCTGGGAGAAGGGATGCTCCCCATCCCTAGAGATTCAATTCAACAGGCATTTATTGACTATTTAATGCTGAGCACTGTGCTAGGCCCTGGGGGATATATACAAAGACAAAAACAAAACCAAAACAGTGCCTGCCTTCAAGGAGCTTACATTCCACCAGAGATTCAGTTTTACAGAAACTCGCCTGAATCCAGAACCCTCCTCCAGCCTGTCAAGATTCTAGGCTCCTGTCTTTTTCCGCATTGATACCTAACTGAATTCCACACTTCTGTACCGCTTCCCTAGCTGAGAATGATGTTGGTGAGTTGGCAGAACAGGACCTGCCTGGTTAAATAAGCCTGTCTTGGGGCACCTATGATTTTTCTGAAGCATTCCTAAGACAAACAGAAAGCAATTTCATATGAGATAAGTTGTTTTTCTAACAAGCCTGGCCTTGCATGGCAGTTCATATTTTATAAGTAGCCTTCCCTTTTTGCCTGGGTCATTGGGGAAGTTTGATCCTGCCCCCAGGCTGTAATGTTCACCCCCATTCTCAGAACTGTACATTACTATGCCTTCCTGGTGAGAGCCCTATCTAGCCTGTCTAGTCTCCTCTCTCCTCAAATTCTCATCACAGCCATTCATCATGGGAAGCTTCCAGGCAACTACTGCTCTTTCTTTCTTTTCTGGAGTGCTTTACTGAATTCCTAGCACTGTCTCCTGTTGGTGGAAGGGGATGACATTTTCAGAGAGAAGGGCCCAATGTAGCTCTTGGCTTTTAAAAGGGTTTTGCTGAAGCCACTGAGATTTGAAAGGCACTACAGGGTTTGCATAATGTACATCAAGGAGCAAGAGGTGATGAGTCTGTCAGAAGGAACATAGGAGGCCTTCAAACTCCCAGCAGGTTACATCAAAGGAGAAGGTGCTGTGAGCAGGAATTATAAAAATAACAATGACTGATGCCCTGTTTCCTGTGACTAGAATGTTTTCTCTCCCATGTTCAGCATTTGAATTTCTTGTCTTCCTTTAAAGCCCAGTTCAGACAGACTTTTTGAAACAGTTTGGTTCAGTGAGTGAAGAGAGGCCTGGCTCTGAAGTCAGAGGACATGGGTTCCACCCCCATCTCTGATATGACCTTGAACACGTCATCTTAGCCTCAATGGGTTCTAGTTTCCTCATCTGTAAAATAAGGGTTAGATAAGATGGCTTCTAAGAACCCTTTGAGCACTAGATCTAAACTTTCACCGATCTCTTTCTGACACACGAAAGACACTTAATAAAACGCTTCTTTGTGAATTGTCTGACTGCCCCTCCCCCAGTACATACACATCTACCTCTCACAGTCTTTTGCTTTGTTCCTTGCCCTTTACCCACTTAGGCTGTGGAAGATGACTGTCCATGTGGGTTGCTTATTGCCCTACTAACCTGGACACTCCCAGAGGGCAGGAATCAGGTCTTTTCTAAACTCTGTAACTACCCTAAGGCCTAGTACATCCCCAACAGTAAAGTTTAGTAAATGTTCAATCAGTTTAGCTGAATTGAAGTGGTATCATTTGAGAGGGTCTGAGACAACCCTCCCACAAATGAAGTATCTGGATCTGTCACCTCTATGGCTAAAATTGCTCCTTCAGTATTTCATTTCCAGTTAAACATTGTCCTTGCCGTCATTCACCTTTGAAATGCAAAAGACTCACTCCTGGCAGGAGTAACACAGTAAGTCATTACCACTATAGCATGAATGAGTTAGCCAGTTCACTTTCTTCCCTCTACCACACCTGAGACACCATTAGACCACCTCTCACCTGCAAGGTAAAGATGGTGCTGGGTAGCAGGGAGAGGGCCTAGGAAGGGTAGGTGGAACAAAAGACAGGCTTTTCTGCTGGAACATTCCTGCCTAGGGCTAGTCCTGCTTTTAAAGGCCATGTAATCTCAGGGAGGCCAGTCTGTGTCTGCTCTCTACAGAAGAGGAAGTTGGGCATGCTTCTGGGGTAGTCTCAGCATATTTCAGAGGGCTCTGGCCCCATGGGCTGTCCTCACACTCTCACCCTCACTCTTGGATGCTAAACTGTCCAGGCAGGTGTGTAAATGCCAAATTACTTATAGATTGCCAACAAAACCACTTGAAAAAAAAAACCTATTTGCCTCAAGGGTACTCATGCTGCTAGAAACCATGGATACGGATACCCCTCTTCTCTAGAAAAGCAGTTCTTAACCCCCTTCCCAGTGGAAACTTACATAATGATTACCATGCATATGTATGGAATATTTTATCATTTGGTAATGAATAGCACAAAACAGTTAATTTTTTTGGGGGGGGAACCTTTGTCAAAAATGGTTTCAGACAGGGTGAAACTGGAAAAGAAACAAAAGAAGGTCCACCCAACCACTCCAAAACAAAACAAAGAAAGTGATAATGATCCAAAGTCTGACTTACATGACAACATTTAAAGCTTCCACTGATGTAGGACTGAGCCAAGATAGTAGATGGGCTGTCAAAGAGTTTCTCAGAAAACAAACAGGAAACGAGATCTATATAGTAACAGCTAGCACTTAAGTAGCATTTTAAGGTTTGCATAGTCACAGTGCTTCACAAATACTACTTAATTTATTCTCACAACAACTCTGTGAAGTAGGTACTGTTGTTATCCCATTTTACAGATGAGGAAACTGAGGTAGATAGCAGTTAAGTGACTTGCCCAGGGTCACACTGCTAGGAAGTATCTGAGGTTAAATTTGAACTCAGGTTTTCCTGACTTCTGATCCAGCATTCAAGCAGTGCTACAACTACCTATGGAATCTTTATTTTATTATAGGGCTCTAGAGTGACTTTGCAAAGGAGAATGAATAAAACAAAACGATTACCACATACAGGGGTATTGTGAGGCTGAAATGAGATAATGGATGCAAAGCACTTCACAAACTTTAAAGTTCTATGTAACTGCCTATCAGCATCATTATCATCAGCCTCCAGTCACCAGGTCTCTGTTTTGGTGATGACTTCATTCCCTGCACTTTCCAATGCACTCCTGCTGAACTCAAGCTACATCAATAGTGCTGATACATGCTTAACAAGATGTATGCACTTATACTTTTAATTTTAATCTGCATTATTAACACTTTATTAAGTCTAGACAATCGATAAAACAATAAATCAAGCTGTGATGTGTGGGGAGGGTGGATTTCTGAGGTGCAAATGCTTCCACTGAACGTTTAGCATTGCTCTCTGGCCAGAGGTTAGAGCTGGGTCCAGCACACCCTTGCCATGCCTACAAATCACCCACTCCTAAAGAAAGTCATTACATGATGGAACATAAACATTAGCAGAAAAAGTAAATAGGATAGAAGAAACAAGATGGAAAAGAGTTATCTAGAGCTCTGCACAGCTGCTCACAGCTGTGGGAGTTCCTGCAATAGTTTATATTGGCCATTTTTTTCTATCCTATCTAAACTAAGTATTTTATATCTTGGAGGAAAGATTTGAAAATAATTTTCCATTTTTCATTCTTTCGCACTATATTTAATAAGGAAGGCAAACATTGACTCATAATGTAAAACCCTACGTTTAACTTTTGGTTTACAAATTTTAAACTACAATGTGGTATAATGGAAAGATTGCTAGACTTAACAGCACAGAAGGCCTGAGTTCACCTAGCTCCACCACTTACTAGCAATTGGACAGTGTGTAAGTCGCTTAATTTCTCTGAGCTTCAGTTTTTTCACCTATAAAATGGGAATAATAGTATTTGGACTATCTGCCTCTAAAGGCTATTTGTTTCAAGGAAAGTGTTTAGTAAGAATTAAAATGCTATAAAAACTGTGAACTGATGAAAGAACAAGACTTTTAGTCAGTCCACTGCACAAACTAATCAGGGGATTGATGCATCTAGG